ATATTACTTCCTTTTTTTTCGAAAAAATCATTAATGCATCGTGTTTGTTCGTCACTTCTTTTTTACTCTCAATGCATTTCTTTATTATTTATTCTTCTTTTTATTACGTTTGTTATTCAATTTGCTTGTTCCAATGGAAAGATGTCTTTTATTCGGATTGATGAAATTACTCCACACCACATTTTGGTACATAAAGACAATAATTTTGTACCTTCATTTTTAAATAAGGAATTTGATATTGAAAGTGTTTATCCTTATAACAACTTCAATAATTCAAAAGAGTTAAATAACTTTAATGAAACAGCAGAAAAAATAAATGTCCATAGAGAAAATGAAAGTATGAGTTGTGGTAATTATGATAAAAAGAATGACGTAGATGAAAGTCTACTTAGGCAATTTGCTCAGTTGAAACCTTCTGCCTCAAAAAAATATAAAACGTTAACTAAACCACCTATTAATTCTACTGACACTATTAATTGGGAAATACCTGAAATTTGTAATGGTAGAATTGATGTTGTTTGGCTATGGGTAAATGGAAGTGATCCACAATGGTTATATCAGTACAAACAATTCAATAACAGAATTAAACCTAGTTTTTATCGAGATTATCAGACTTTATTATATTCTATTAGAAGTGTTTATATGTATGCTCCATATGTTAAAAAGTATCATATACTAACTAGTGACCAAGTGCCTTCTTTTCTTCAACAACCAAATGGTTTAAAGTCGTTTAAAATTGTTTCAGGAAATTATTCATTGGAAATAGTTTCTCATAGACAAGTCTTTGATAAAAAAAATATCCCAACATTTAATAGTGATGCAATTGAAAGTGTTATACATAGAATACCAGATTTATCTGAATGTTTTATTTATTTAAATGATGACATGTTATTATCGAGAAACGCACCACCATCAGTATGGTTTAATAATAATGAACTACGTTTATTTACACACCCTAAATTTCAATGTCCAAATAAAAAAAGAATGAAAAAAATCGTTTGGGATAGAAGTCTTGCATTTACTAACATTTTATTAAATGATGTTTTCAATGAACCAAAAACAACCCCACACCCCTACTTATCTCATAACTGTTATTTCCTACAAAAAAGTGTATTACAAAAATTAGAAAATACATTTGAGCGACAATACAATTTTACAAGAGATTCAAAAGTTAGAAACGATAGATCAATGAATATTCCATATGCACATTTTCTATATCATTTACATAGCCAATCAGGAAAAGTTCAGCCTGAAGCAGATTGGTTTTATTTTGATAAATTAACAGAAAAAAGATTAAATAATATGATGATATTTAAGAATATTGATTATTTAGAGCCTTATTGTATTTGTATTAATGACGCATTTACTAAAGGAAAACGTATTGTTGACAAAGAAATAGAATTTGCAATACAACAACTAGAAAAAAGATATCCAGTGCATTCACCATTTGAAAAAGTAAGATAACTGAATTTTATTTATTAAATAATTATTTCAAAAAAGAACCTTTTCCAATGAAGAAATACAACAAATTTTAATGCCATGGTTGTTGTATAAATCCTTTGGGTGTTGTAAAGAAAATCAAATAAGACACAGAAATCCAATGTCATACAATAA